CTTTTGAATGTTCTCTGATCGTTACTTTTGAATGTTCTCTGATCGTTACTTTAGAATGTTCTCTGATCGTTACTTTAGAATGTTCTCTGATCGTTACTTTAGAATGTTCTCTGATCGTTACTTTTGAATGTTTTCTGATCGCTACTTTAGAATGTTCTCTGATCGTTACTTTAGAATGTTCTCTGATCGTTACTTTAGAATGTTCTCTGATCGTTACTTTAGAATGTTCTCTGATCGTTACTTTAGAATGTTCTCTGATCGTTACTTTTGAATGTTCTCTGATCGTTACTTTAGAATGTTCTCTGATCGTTACTTTAGAATGTTCTCTGATCGTTACTTTTGAATGTTCTCTGATCGTTACTTTTGAATGTTTTCTGATCGCTACTTTAGAATGTTCTCTGATCGTTACTTTAGAATGTTCTCTGATCGTTACTTTTGAATGTTCTCTGATCGTTACTTTACAATGTTCTCTGATCGTTACTTTAGAATGTTCTCTGATCGTTACTTTTGAATGTTCTCTGATCGTTACTTTAGAATGTTCTCTGATCGTTACTTTAGAATGTTCTCTGATCGTTACTTTAGAATGTTCTCTGATCGTTACTTTAGAATGTTCTCTGATCGTTACTTTTGAATGTTCTCTGATCGTTACTTTTGAATGTTTTCTGATCGCTACTTTAGAATGTTCTCTGATCGTTACTTTAGAATGTTCTCTGATCGTTACTTTTGAATGTTCTCTGATCGTTACTTTACAATGTTCTCTGATCGTTACTTTAGAATGTTCTCTGATCGTTACTTTTGAATGTTCTCTGATCGTTACTTTAGAATGTTCTCTGATCGTTACTTTAGAATGTTCTCTGATCGTTACTTTTGAATGTTCTCTGATCGCTACTTTTGAATGTTCTCTGATCGTTACTTTTGAATGTTCTCTGATCGTTACTTTAGAATGTTCTCTGATCGTTACTTTAGAATGTTCTCTGATCGTTACTTTTGAATGTTCTCTGAACGGTACTCTGAGAACGTTTCCTGTTAGCTGTTAAATTAGCTGTTGATTAGTCTTATAATCAATTTCATCCATCATATCAAATCATTATTGTGTTTTCTAGGTGTTCAGAATAGAGTTTCACTCAGCGGATTCTGTGCAAATAAATGAGGAATTCCTGGATCAGATTCACATTCACTTTCTCCTCGTTTCTCCACTATATGGACGTCGTCCAACATGTTTCTCGTTCCCTAAAAAGACAGTTATTGGCAGCAGAACGAGTCGAGCGTCAGCAGCTCGTTATCTGACGTTATATGAGGGTGAGGACACGCCCCGTTTACCCAGCATGCACTGCTCCGGCAGATAAGGCTCCATCTGAAGTCCACGTTTCTGTCGCTCGTCCAACATTATCACTCGCATGAGCAAATATGCTTGAGCTTATGAACATTACACAAGTTTGGCGAGCGTCAGCATGAATGAACTTCGTCACTGCCATTCATGTGAATGTGATGTAAGTGTTCACATGAAGGCCATGCACCAGCCGTTTCCTCCATAGACTCTAGATGTCTTAAACTTATTCACATACAGCACATTATATTTAAACATTCAATATGATGAATGTTCTGCTAAAGTATATATACGTGCAACACACCGCAAAACATGACGCTCTTCCTCAGTGTTTCTGTCTCGTTTTCCAGCACAAACATCTAAACACTCTTAAATCAAGACACATTTACTGGAGAAACGAAATGACTGAAGATATTAAGTCTTGATTACTGAAAAATATCATGTAAATGAAGTGAGTTTGAGCTTAAAACAAGAACAAATATCTGCCAATGGAAAAAAATCATCTTGTTTTACATCGTTTTATTTTTTAAGCCTCACAGGAGCTTCGTCATTCATCAATGCCTCGTTAATGAGCGTTCAGGTTCATGATGATCATCTAATGAGTGCATGACTGATCTTGTGTTCCTTCAGGAGAGGTTCAAGAACCATAACGATTACTAAATGAGTAAAGTTTGTTGACAAAAGGTCTGAAAGTTTAAAATAACTTTTTCTAAAGAAAGTTAAAAAATGTTACTGTCATGTGTTAGCATGATTTAAAGTCGCCCTGTAGTCGATCATTTTATCCCTTAAAGCTCATCTTTGATCACAAAAATTACATATTTAAATGTTTTTCTTTTAAAAAATGTCTTCATGCCTTGAAATATCTTGAATGTAACTCCACACCCTCGCCTCATTTAGGATGCGCGGTTCTATGAATATGCAAATGAACCCCGCCTCCACTCACTCACTCAGCTCAGAGATCCACTGGTTGACGATCACACGTTGATCTGATTGGTTACAAGGTCGTTTGTGACGTCAGAAACACCAGCGATTTCAAACCGTGTTTTTGAGACTGTCTTTGGTTCACTGCAGTTTTAAGGAGGAAATACTCAGCAATGCTGTCGACTTATGAACTTACACATGGTTTGTCTTAAAGCAGATTAATAACACCACATACACACATAAACAACATTAAACGCTAGATTTTCACCACAGGGGGACTTTAAAGCTATCTCGGACCTGAATGCCACTTCATCCAGTCCAGTTTTTTTTTATATGCCCAAATTATCAGCCAGCCTCTGACTCACATTAATAATGTCTCTATTAAAGCTGGAAAATTTCCAGATACTTGGAAAAAAAACACTAGTTAAGCCCGTCTTTAAGTCCGGGAATATTGCAGATGCCAACTATCGACCACTTAGTCTAGTCCTGGTAGCATCTAAAATATTGGAAAAATAATTTCAGTACAACTAATTAAATATTTAGAAACACGTCTCTACCCGCTGTACGGTTTCAGACAGAATCACTGAATCTGCCATCGTTACATTATTGGAAACATTGTGCAGTCACTTGGAGATGGTCCTCACTGCAGAACATGAAATCCACGGGGAGGAGTCGGATCCAGATCCAACTCCTCCCACCTTACATATACCTAAACCTACCCATCTCCGCCCCCTGATCCCTAAACACACCCCTAATCCCTAAACCCACCCCTAATCCTACCCATCTCCACCCCTCGGATCTTGATCCGACTCCTCCCTGTGGATCTTATGTACTGCATTGAGGTGCTACTGGAGACTTGAGGAAATGGTGGGCGCAGTTCCTGGACTTAGAGAAGGCTTTTCGAGACCGTACACATCATTACCTCAAAACTATCATCTTTTAATTTCTCAAAGCAGGCACGCTTATGGTTTGAGTCATATCTACAGGGTCGAGAACAATGTGTTGTTATTGATAATGTAAAATGATGACAGGAATCCCTCAGGGAACTATACTGGGGCCTATCTCTTTAAAGTCTTGAAAAAGTGTCAATTTGGCTAAACTGAATACAAAGAAAACCAAATCCATGTGCTTTTCTATAAAAAAATACAACCAAATGAACATTGAAATGAACGGTGAAATCGTTGAACAAATCGAACAGGAGAAATATTTAGGAGTGATATTAGACTCTCAGCTAAATTTTAAAAGTCACATCAAAAGCCTTTCTTTAAAAACGAAGGCCGGTATAACTGGTTTCAGGACATGTGCTTGTGTCTTTATAAATGCTTGTGTCCCAGCTGTCGTCATTGGCCAACCAAACCACCCTAAAGCTCCTGAGCGGCTTTATAATCATACTTTTAAAATTTTACATAAAAAGCTCATCAGATTTCATCACTGTTCTATTTTTAAAAAACACAAAATCTTAAGTTTTATGTATTTTTGTAACTTTAGCCATAAATCTTTATTTAAATGTTTGAATAGACTTGCCCCCGAGAGTCTGTTTCTGCTCACAGACTGAAGTGAAGTGTGAGATCTACGACAGACATGTGAGACTGCAATAAAACATCTTCTGCTCGGACTGCGTTTCTGTGAAAGGAGAAACCATCTCTCTCCTGCTGAGATCGTCATCAACACTTCACTAAACCACCTTCAAGAAACGGACAAAATCCAGGCGCGTACAGCAGCAACAGTGTGATCGTGTGTGATCACGTCAAAACGTGTTATGTTGGTTTTTTGGACCTTTTAATGTATTCACGGTTTATTTAGTCATTTATCCATCTAGTGTAATATTTAATATAAAAAGCCCTATAGCGACAGGTGTTGCGAATTAGCCTTGGATATAAACACTGTACTGACATGGGATTGCTTCGAGAAGATAATCTGTGTTCACTGTATCTGTCCCTATCAAATAAACTACATAATTGATAGTGATAATACTCAGTCTTATATCGTCCAAAAGTCTTGATAAAAAAGATAGCATTTCGAGTCTGAGCCGAGTTTGGTGAAAGCTTAAAATTTAGTCGATGAAAATAGTACATCAGTAAGTTGGATTTGTCAAGCGATCATAACTATATAATGCACGATATCGTTCTGTTTATTCTCAGATTTGTCGTCTGTCCCTTTAAAACCCGAGCTCTTAAAGCAGGATGGATTCTGATTGGCTGTCAGTGTTTTTTTATTGTTCATAAACTGGGGAAAAATCGCTCTGAAAGTGATTCTGATGATATTGTTCTTCTGTGTCGTTATTGTTATAGTCGTGGTGTGACTGTTTATTATTAACTGTTTATTTATCGTTATAGTTACCGCTCTTGCTGAACGATCTGATTCTCCTCATATTTTCTTGTGGTTCAGTAATATAATTTTTCTCCTCTTCTAACTTTCCTGTTTGTTTACAGTGATACAGTATTCGCGATCTTCATTCGTTTAATAGCCTTCAGTTTCAGTTTGTTATCATCAGTTATTATGAATTCACACTTGATTTTTTCACACGTAATTTGCACTAAAACATTTTGTCATTAGTCTGCCAATATTATTTCACACATGACAGTATTAAAAGATGAGAAATCATAATTGCTCTCATTACAGTAGCCTGTTACTTCTGCTTGAATGTTTTTCTGTGATTTATGTATATGTACGTTTATAAATGTAGCAGAACATTTCCATCGTCTCCAGTGACAATAAAGCTCATTGTGAATAAAACACAAACACTAGATGAACATTTAAATATCTTTATTATTAATATCTAGATATAGTACGTAGATGGATAATAAGGAGATCTAGATATCAAAAGGCATAGAAATACAAAAATAATTTAAGACATTTAGAAAAAATGAAATGGTTGCAAACAGTTTAAAGTTTCTCGCCATAAAGCCTCCGCTGAATATATAAATGTGAACATGTAGTTGGACATTTTGCATCAATAATTTATAAGGTTAAATAAAAACAGTCCTTTAATTTCATTCATAGATGTCATCAGATCTTCGTCAGCTTGACACTTAAGGGCTCAATCTGTGGAAGCTCTTCTTCTGAATTTGTTTTCACACAATTTCACAAGTTTATATCTCACTTTTTTCCTCAGAATTCCAAGTTTATATATTACCATTCAGAATCTTTCCTCAGAATCTGAGCTTATATCTTACAATTCCAATTTTTTCCTCAGAATTCCAAGTTTATTTCTTACAATTCCAAATTTTTCCTCGGAATTACAATTTTTTCTCTCACAATTCCGACTTTTTCCCCCTCAGAATTACGAGTTTATATTTTACAATTCCAAATTTTATCTTCGGAATTCCACGTTTTTATCTCACAATTCTGACTTTTTTCCTCGGAATTCCAAGTTTATGTGTTACATTTCTGAGAAAAAACAAACGTAATTGCAAGATAAAAAGTAGCAATTACTTTTTTTGTTTAATTCCATGGCGGGTTCAGCCACTGATTAGAGGGCTAGAAATATAAAAAGTTCTAAAAGGAGAGTTTGCTGTCAGCTGACCGGCTCTAAAGCCGTTTCTCACAGCCGTCCCACTCTCTGCTCCAGCATCTCCAGCTGTCGCTCCATCTCTGCGGGCAGGTCCTGGTTAACCTCGCGCTGGAAGTACGCTCGGATCTCCTCCACCTCCCGGCTCCAGAACTGGGCTGAGATGTGGAAGAGCTGATCCAGGTCCAGGTCCGATGGCAGACCTCTGAGGTTCAGGTGGACGGGCAGGAACCCGACGGCGCTGGGCATCGCTCCAGCCTCGCCACTGATCCTGCGGAACATCCACTCCAGCACACGGATGTTCTCCCCGAAGCCGGGCCACAGGAACCGGCCCGACGCGCTCTTGCGGAACCAGTTGACGTGGAAGATCTTGGGCAGTTTGGCATCGGGATGATCCTGCATGCTCAGCCAGTGGGACAGATACTGGCCGAAGTTATAGCCGAAGAACGGGCGCATGGCGAACGGGTCGTGCATGATGACTTTACCTGGACACACAGCAACACACACGGCTTTACTATCGCTACACTTTCTTCACTTTCTCCAACATGATCATTTGGGCTGCACCAGAATGGAAAAAAACGATATTTTGTTTTTCTGCGATGTATTAAAAAATAGTTTCGGCAGATGACTTGAACAGGTGATTTCATTGTCCATCTGCATTGTTATTATTTTTAAACCCTGAAAAGATACAAGCAAAAAGCCATTTAGGGCTGACTAAAAGTTCTAAATAAAATAGATTATTGATGAAAATACATTTTTAAAAAAAATGTCTTTTTTTCTTTTAGTATCCATAATAATTGTATTATAATAGAAAAAAAAAGACTTTGTTTGTCAAAATTACATGTTTAATTCAATGTGTTACTTGCTGTTCCTTTTTAATTATCTGTGAAATTCACAAAAAAAAATTGAGTGGAAATTGTTTTTGACCAATTTAATATGACTATTTGACTATAAAATATTATTAATTATTATGATTGTTTCGCGATTATTATTAAATAAACATTACAAAATGAACTTTATTGTAATAACTTTTGTAATGTAAAATAAAATTACAATAAAAATTTGAATGATTGAAGTATTTATATATATATATTCATTTCTTCATTTTCAAACTTTAATTTTGACGGGCTGTCGGCCAATAGAAGAATGCACTGTGTATCACTCATAATATCAGCGTCTCAGAACGGCTCGATTCTGCAGATATTTGCCCCTTAAATAATATCTTAATTCATTTTTGCATTCAATTTTAATTCATTTAGTTGAATTAAAAAAATGTGTTGCCTTTTTAACATTTATGCATTTTGCAGATGCTTTTATCCACAGTAACTTACATTGTATTTAAGCTATAAATATAACATATTTTTTAACATTTAAAAAAAAAAAGAACTATTATAACTACTCCAGTAACACATGTGTATTTACTTAATTAAATTTGACCATATTGTGACATCAGTTTTATTTCGATATACGGTGCAGCCCTAATGACAGTACATGCAGTCGAACCAGCATTATTCAGACACTCCAACATTTCTCACATTATCAGTTTATTCGCTATAGTTTAGAAAATGGTGATAAATATGAGCAGAACTCAGTGGATATTTGACTGGTTTTGTCCGTCCTTCTGTTAGACTCTCACACATGAATTATGTTGAATATCTGTCAGCTGTTAAATTTAACTACACAATTAGATAATACCAGTTTAGCATGTGATTTTAAATCACAGTAACACTTGTACTTTTTTTAAGCTCTCGTTAGTTAATGCATTAGTTAATATGAACTAATTCTGAGTAATATTGTTCGTGCATCGACTCACCTGTGTGTTCGGCGGCCGCCGTGGCTTCGGATCTCATGGCCGCGCCCACAAACACTCCGTGTGACCAATCGAAGGCCTCGTACACCAGCGGGACGCCCTCGGGCCGACGCCCACCGAAGATCACGGCCTCGATGGGAACGCCTTCGGGAGACTCCCACTGCGGGTCGATGATGGGACACTGGCCGGCCGGCGTGCAGAAGCGCGAGTTGGGATGAGCGCACGGCTCGCCTGGAAGAGAAGAGAGAAGCCGTTATCATCAGTTCAACGAGTCGGAGTCCAGAAGAGAGACGTGAGCGGAAGAACCGGATCTGGGCTGCGTTTCCTAAAAGCATCGTTAGCCAACTATAGAGATCCTTGGCTCAAGACGGACAACACGTATATCTCCAATTTCGATTTAGGCAGCAAAAATGTTCTGCTATGTCGAATTTTGTCCAAAACCTATTTTTGCGAACTAGTCCCTGGTTTTTCGCCCGATCGGAACCAGACCAGTCTAGGGCAATGAACTTTTGCATTTGTGTGGCTGTAACAGGGTCATTTAGAAAAGGGGCGTGACAAAATACACTCAAAAGCCTATAAATCCTAAAGGAAAACTCAAAACTTCACAAAAATTGATGAGCACATGTGTCATAAGATGCTGAAAAAGCATGCAAAGTTTCATGGAGATCGGACCATAGGTGGTGCTATAACTGTCAAAACGGTCTCATTCTTATTAGGGGTTCAAGCACAAAGTGCTGAAACCCTAGGGTTTGTAAAACTGATTGTGCAGCCCAAACCGTAAGTGCTATAGTCTTGAAACCTGGCCAGATGGTAGGCCTCAATTTGGGGAGAACCTATCAGAGTATGAGCCCGATTGGCCCATAGGTGGCGCTACAGCAACCGCTAGACCGCTTGACTTACTGTGATCCTTGGCTCAAGACGGACAAAATGTATATCTCCAATTTCGATTTAGGCAGCAATTTTAAAAAAATCAGAGTATGAGCCCGATTGGCCCATTGATGTGTCATAACATGCTGAAGAAGCATGCAAGGTTTCAGACTACTAGTCCCTGGTTTTTCAGCATTTTTAAACAAGCATGCAAAATTTCATGGAGATCGGACCATAGGTGGCGCTATAATTGTCAAAAAGCTTTGAAAACCATATATTTCCTATGGTAAATTGCCTCTATTGGCTGTAAATGGTCTTTTCTATCTATGATGTCAATGGTTAAATGCTTGCTAAATAAAACTTAATGTCTTTAATGCTCATGTGCTTAAAGGCCTTAAATGCTTGAACCCCGCTAAATGCTGCTCGCAGCTTTAATTGTAGTTGTAGTTACCGTCCTCAGGCGTCCAGGGCCGGTTCTTCCAGGACTTCAGGGTCGTTCCCTCGGGCAGATCCTCATCCATGCCCTCCCAGTAAACCCCGCCAGCGCTGGTCTCGGCCACGTTGGTGAAGATGGTGTTCTGGTGGATGGTGTGCATGGCGTTCGGGTTGGTTCTGCTGGAGGTTCCTGGTGCCACACCGAAGAAACCGTTCTCTGGGTTGATGGCTCTGAGATTCCCTTCAACACAACAACAGAGGACGTCAACCGAAAGAGCGAAAAACTGCATATTTCTTCTCAGTAATAAATATATGATGATTATGCGTTTTAGCTGGAACGCCTATAGAGCTCGGATGATGCATTTCTGATAGAGCATTTTAACCCTTCGTTTGCATCGTCCTTAAAGTCTATGGAAGCTATGAAAAGTCTCAGAATTGCGTGATATTAAGTCGCAATTGAGAGAAATAGACTTTATATCTCGCAATTCTGACTTTATATCTCGCAATTCTGACTTTATATCTCGCAATTCTGACTTTTTATCTCGCAATTTTGACTTTATCTCGCAATTCTGACTTTATATCTCGCAATTCTGACTTTATCACGCAATTCTGACTTTATATCTCGCAATTCTGACTTTAAATCTCGCAATTCTGACTTTATATCTTGCAATTCTGACTTTATATCTCGCAATTCTGACTTTATCACGCAATTCTGACTTTATATCTCGCAATTCTGACTTTATATCACGCAATTGTGACTTTATATCTCGCAATTCTGACTTTATATCACGCAATTCTGACTTTATCACGCAATTCTGACTTTATATCTCGCAATTCTGACTTTACATCTCGCAATTCTGACTTTATATCACGCAATTGTGACTTTCCATCTCGCAATTCTGACTTTATATCTCGCAATTCTGACTTTATATCTCGCAATTCTGACTTTATATCTCGCAATTCTGACTTTATATCACGCAATTGTGACTTTACATCTCGCAATTCTGACTTTATATCTCGCAATTCTGACTTTATCACGCAATTCTGACTTTATATCTCGCAATTCTGACTTTACATCTCGCAATTCTGACTTTATATCTCGCAATTCTGACTTTATATCTCGCAATTCTGACTTTATCACGCAATTCTGACTTTATATCACGCAATTCTGATTTTATATCTCGCAATTCTGACTTTATATCTCGCAATTCTGACTTTATCACGCAATTCTGACTTTATATCACGCAATTCTGATTTTATATCTCGCAATTCTGACTTTATATCTCGCAATTCTGACTTTATATCACGCAATTCTGACTTTACATCTCGCAATTCTGACTTTATATCTCGCAATTCTGACTTTATATCTCGCAATTCTGACTTTCTATCTCGCAATTCTGACTTTATAACGCAATTCTGACTTTATATCTCGCAATACTGACTTTATATCTCGCAATACTAAGAAATAAAGTCAGAATTGTGAGATGTAAACTCGCAATTATGAGATAAAAATTTGCAATTATCTTTTAAAATGTTTTATTCTGTGGCGGAAACAAGCTTCCATAAAAGTCAGTGTGTTTTTTTATGTTTTTAATGCACAGAGCTTATTTCACACACACACACACACACACACACACACACACACACACACACACACACACACACACACACACACACACACACACCACTCTCTGTACCTTCGGTGTCGAACTTCATCCAGGCGATGTCGTCTCCCACACACTCCACCTTCACACACACACACACACACACACACACACACACACACACACCACTCTCTGTACCTTCGGTGTCGAACTTCATCCAGGCGATGTCGTCTCCCACACACTCCACCTTCACACACACACACACACACACACACACACACACACACACACACCACTCTCTGTACCTTCGGTGTCGAACTTCATCCAGGCGATGTCGTCTCCCACACACTCCACCTTCCAGCCCGGCAGAGAAGGCTTCAGCATGGCCAGGTTCGTCTTCCCACACGCGCTCGGGAACGCCGCCGCGAAATACTTCTTCTGTCCCGCCGGGTCAGTGATGCCCAGGATCTGCAGGGACGATTCATATTTAATAAAAAACACATAGGCTATATAGTCTATGCTGCTTGATATTGCAAACTTTATTTTAATTTATTAATTAATTTATCATAAATAATCATATAGTAATTTTGTTATAATTACTATAGTTATATCAGAGGTCTTGCACAATCGCAAAAAAACCTTTTAACAATAAGGTAGATAGGACATTAAAATAATTAAACTATAAGGTGTTTGTCCTGTCATTGATATTCGACTGACTCCACCAGAGAGGGAGTTTAGTCGAGGTAAAGCTCGATCTGGATGTGTGTCTGAGACTGACCAGCATGTGTTCGGCCAGCCAGCCCTCCTCTTTAGCGATGCGAGACGCGATGCGAAGAGCGAAACACTTCTTTCCCAGCAGAGAGTTCCCCCCGTACCCACTGCCGAACGACACGATGCTCCTCTGCTCCGGGATGTGCGCGATCAGCGTGAGATCCGGGTTACAGGGCCAGTTATTCACCAGCGGCTCTGAGAGAGAGAGAGAGTAAAAATAGTTTGGGTTTAATATTCATTATTATTATTTATTTATTGTATTGTAAAGATTTCTTTCACCATGCCTATTTGAATCTTTGAGAGAGAGAGAGAGAGAGAGAGAGAGAGAGAGAGAGAGATTCATAAGTCTCACTAGTACTCACTCTTGAGGGGAAGTGGGCATCCGACGGAGTGAAGACATCTCACGAACTCTCCGTTCCCGAGCGCGTTCAGAACGGCCTTTCCCACGCGGGTCATGATCCTCATACTGGCCACAACATACGGGGAGTCGGTCAGTTCGACACCGATCTTCGAGAGCGGAGACCCGACCGGACCCATGCTGAACGGGATCACGTACATCACACGACCTGAGGACGCACACTGTATCATTCTTCAAACATTACGGGAACGTTACATTGTATCATTCTTCAAGCGTTACGGGAACGTTACTTTCGAATGTTGTCTGAACGTTCTGAAACAAGTTGTAACATTTAAAAAAACATTCCATGTGATGTATAATGATGTATAAATATGTTTTTATGCTAACATTTTGACAACATTATTACCTGTGGTGTAAATCCAGCTTTTAATGTTGTTTATGTGTCTATGTGGTGTTTTTAATACGCTCAAACCATGTGTAAGTTCATAAGTCGACAGCATTGCTGAGTATTTCCTCCTTAAAACTGCAGTGAACCAAAGACAGTCTCAAAAACACGGTTTGAAATCGCTGGTGTTTCTGACGTCACAAACGACCTTGTAACCAATCAGATCAACGTGTGATCGTCAACCAGTGGATCTCTGAGCTGAGCGAGTGAGTGGAGGCGGGGCTCATTTGCATATTCATAGAACCGCGCATACTAAATGAGGCGAGGGTGTCAAGTTACATTCAAGATATTTTAAGGCATGACGATTTAAATGTGTAATTTTGGTGAGTTTTAAGGGATAAACGGATTGACTACAGGGGACTTTGACTGGACGCTTGTGTACCTTTCATGCACCCGGGGAAGCGCAGGTTCATGGCTTTGTCCCATTCCTCGGGTGACATCCATCGGCCGAGTTCACTGACGCCTCCTCCTCGAGGTGAAGGAACCGTGTCTCGCTGCTCCGGGGTCACGATCACCGTCTTGCTCTCGACTCGGGCCACGTCTCGCGGGTCTGTGCGCGCCAGCCAGCTGAAGAACACCAGAGAGACTCTACAGTTCATGTCGGTCAAAAAATGTATTTCAATAAAATGAATGTACTATATTTTAGTTTGATAATGTTTTTTCATTTAATATTTTGTATTTTTAGGGGATTTTATGGTACTAAATTATGTTTACACTATTTAAAATCCATTTATTCACTTTTTGAGCGTAGACCTGAAAATGAAATGTCCAGCTCAAACTGTGGTAAACCTTTAGAGCGACAGACTGAGGTTTGATCTCTTCTCAAACACGACACTCGGCAGATTATTGATGAAGTGAAAACAGTTTTTACAAATTAAAAACATTTTTTTTTACATTTATTGTTATGAAAAATGTTTTCAATTTTTATATGAAATATATAATATTTTAAATATTTTCAAAAACATGCTATACTCTAAAACTGTAAGAAAATCAAAGCCATAAATCTAAACTTTGTGAGTCTTGATATCTCAGTAAATGAGCGTTCAGTGAGATGTTGATCGGCTGCAGTTCCGAACGCTTCCACTAGAGGAACTCTGACCGCGAGGAGCACAAGTGCCAAAACCTTTACCAAGTTTCGTACCATTACAACTCGTTTCTGGCTGCGAGGAGCACAAGTGTCACTGTTGTTTCAGGACCATTTAACCTGTTCCAATCATGGCCATGATTTTTGTGTTCACACAGCAAGTGCCAAAACCTTTCGTACCATTCCGATAAAAAAAAAAAAGAACAATTTTAGGTCAAAAATGACTGTGGAGCAGCAGAGGGTTAAACTTTCTCCATCTCTTCACCATCATGAGTTTGTGTTTGTCAGAGAGGACGAGTGTCGTACCAGTTGTTGTACTTGTGTAGTTGTGTGATGACGCCCTGTTCCTCCAGCAGACTCAGCACGGCCCGGTTCTCCTCGTCGGACCCGTCACAGATGTGGAGCGAGTCCGGCTGGCAGAGACTCACGCTGTTCTCGATGAACTCTCGCAGCGCTGGACTCAGATCCGCCGGGACGTCCTGCAGGACTCGAGACAAGGCCCGGTTCTGGGACTGCAGCTGAGGAGGCATGATGAGGACAGTCCTGCAACACAAGACACAACTATTGGTCCCAAAAAATAAAAAAAAATTCATAATAAATGAAAAACTAAAACTAAATGAAACTAACAACAGTTACTGAAAAACTAACTGAAATTTAAAAAAATTATCAAAAATAAATAATCGTTTTCGTAATTAATAAGCTCTTTACTGTGGTGGAAAACCTGTGGCGGTTTAGGGAAATATGTCGATTAACCGCAGAACTTTTCATACTTTTCACTGTTAATTTGTATTACTTTGGTTCTTTGTTCAATCTGAAACTATTATTTTATTTTTATTAGTAAGATGTCTGTCTAAACTAAAACTAACATAACCATTAATGAAACTAACTAAAACTAAACTGAAATTTAAAGGAAAATTGAAAACGATATTAAAATAAAACAAAAAAATGCAAATTTTGAAAATGTAAAACTATAATAACCTTGCAACACACACACACACACACACACACACACACAGCCTTCAGTGGGTGTTTTTGATTTATACTGAATGATCACTCTATTCATGCATGCTTTTAGACCCCCAAACATCATCATCATCATCATCATCATATCTATCAGTTATAAACCCCCAATTTATACAATGAAACATTAATATCATAAAATTAGTTTCTATTTAGTTACAGTATTATATTTTATTCTGCTCACTTTAGTAATGTACTGTAATGTTTCAGAAAACATTCAAAAGTAATGTTCCCTTAACGTTCGCATAACGTTTTTAAAACATTTAAAAAGCTGCACCTTTTTGAACATTAAGAAAAAAAAATCTCATAATTTAATCATTGGAACTTTGATGTACTGTTACATGCATTATTTACTTGTTGATAATGCAATAGTTAGCATTTTTAATAAAGAAATGTTTAATCAAATTTAATATATTTAACAGATTAATAACTAATATTCTTATATATAATAATCGTTTACCTTAAGTGTTGTAGAAATGATTCAGCAGCTCTTCATCAGTCAGTGAGGATGAGGAGGGTCATCAGTGTTCTGCGCAATGTGTGTGACAGTCAGTCTTATATACAACACTGACCTGAGGAGGAGGCACACACACACACACACACACCGAACGAACGCATGTTAATCATTGAATCATTTCACTGTTCGTTTGGGAAAATACCTGATCGGACTGGAGCCTAAACCGACCTTTGACCCGTTCCGACGTGATGCAACAGCTGAACATGTCACGTCACGGAGGAGGAGTGACGTCACGTGCAGCTCGCGCGCTGATTGGTCGGTGAGCTGGAGGCTCGTCCGCGCGCGCACTCAGCACTTTCTGCGAGAGAAAAAAAAACTCATTTTAACATTTTATGATGAATTATTCAGTCCTCGACATCATGTTATAACAACCTACGTCTTGCGCTTGCATCATTTTAAACATTTCATTTCTGTAAATGAGTGAAGATGTTTTTTATCTGTAGGACATTTAAAGTGAGCTGAGAGCAAAATCAGAAACTTGATTTATTTCAGTGTTACTGGAAAAACGTTTGTTCATAACTTTGAGAGAACCTTCCAAAAGTTCCAAAGCATGAAAAATAAGTGTAAGTTGCCTATATTTTATGCATAACTTGAAAATAGGAATATGATGCTGAAACATGTGGAGAAATGAGACATGACTGTCAGATGAAAACAAACAAACTCAAACACGAACAGGACAAGAAGAGTGTGTGACAGGCTTATCTGAAGACTTGTGCTTGTTTTGGTTAAAGACCCTGTAATGCAAACCTGTAAGTCACAAAGAGCGCAAACCACAAAGAGATAAGAACCGGATGGCTTTAACAACACCTGATAAACTGTGATAAATACAGTCAATGAACAGCCTGAGTCTCACACTTATCAATCAAACTCTCATGTCATATTCTGTGTTCTTGTTTATCATCTCAGATCATCGGCTGAAGTTCATGCACTGCCGTAAGAAAATGTACCGGCCATTCATATATGTTTTACTGGCCATGAAACTGTTTAACAGGTAGTTAATTATGACACCAACATTTTGGATATCAGTGAAAATTCACAATTCTCTATTACAATTTCCGACACCACAGCTAAAACTACTAGCATATCTAATACAAATATAAAACATTATTAAAGACAAGAGTCAGTAATACAGTAAGAACAAATAATCAAATTACAAGCATAAGCACAAATAAATACAATATAATAAAGATACAAATTAAATAAAAAAAGTGCTTTACAGTTTTTTTTATGTATCTAACAGCAGGTACAGACATTTAATAAAGTAAGCAATGTAAAATAACACTGCATATTCTTTACTGTAAATTAAACATCCTTATTAATTAATCCTCAGCAAAAGTTATTCAGTGAAGAGTGATTTTTTCTGTCCTTTGTTGTTTGATTAACATTAAAACACCAGGAATATTAGGCTGCTGTCACTTTAAGAGCGAATGCACTGATCTAATATCTAATAACACGTGCATTTACATTTGCAACTTTTTTACGTTACGTTAGATACTCACTATTTTTTGACATCACTGCGTGTGAATTTGTCTGCTCAAGCACAGATGTGAAAGAGAGATCAGTTAAATATTCGCTTGACTTCACATGTTTGCACACACACATTGGGAAACGTCATCTTGCACTTGAATATTTAAATGGTCAAGGCTTAAACTTTGGTGACGATGCAGCGCTGGCCTGAGCATCGTTCATTTTTCTTCATGTTCACACATTGTTAGAAGAAGAATTCATAAAAAATGTGACTCGCCAACTCCGATTAATACTCGTATTTGGTGCATGGCGCGTGTTATTTTAGGCCCTGTTTCTAGAGACAGTGCATGTAAGAACTCAACTCACTATATGTTGTTTCTTTTGCATGGGCTTTTTTGAGTTTTACTTGCTTCCCAAAAGTTGAGAACTTTTTTTAATTTTGTCACTTGAAATACACGGGACAGATCAGCTGGATAAACACAGTTGAAAATAATTGTTCATGAGATCTGCATGTGTTAACCAGTGACTGATAGAGCAGATAAGCGCTGTAAAAGCACTTGTGAATGAACACACATCTCACCGATAACCTTCTGCGTTCTGCAGATCTTTGTCAAGTATAAGCTTTGAACTCTTCATGTTCATCTGTCAATCATATAAAGCTGCTCTGATCAACACCAGCGCAGATGCGACTGAACCCGATACGTGTTTGGCCTCTGATGAAGACACACATAATCTATAGAATACATGTTGCAACTCAAATGTAAGCATCTGTCTGTTTTGATATCTTGTTTACCAGCAGCAGTTATGATGTGAAATCATTTACAGCTTGTATGAATAGTTCACAGAAAACAGTGTTAGCCGAGAGCCTCCTGCCACATTTATTTGAAACTATCATTTCAAAGCTGGAAAATAACAGTGTCAAATTCATCAGTTTAGTCATTCAGATCAAGTCACTTGAACTTGCTTTTGAGAAATACTATGGTACAGTGTAACAGATGATGATGTCACTGTCACATAATAATGCACAACTTTATTATAAACCATGTGACTGGATGATTACCATATTCATTTAAAATCGTATTTTGGCATGTTTCATGTTTGAAAAAAAGACCACAATGATGCCATGGTCCTTCGTCGGTAGTGATTTGAACTGATGATACTCAGACTAACAGCTCGTTTCTCTGCCGTCGAGCGCCACCTGCCGCCCGAGTCACTCCTGTACGAATAGAGTAGAATTAATAGAGTAGCTACTTTAGTGAATATAGTATTTTATTTGTTCGTGTTTAAAACAACCTCATATTAAAATGTAAACACAAAAAGTAATGTTTAAGCATTGAGTGTAGCTGTTGCACGAGGCTCTAAAACACAAAGTGAACGTTTATTTTGTTCACACACACACACACACACACACACACACACACACACACACACACACACACACACACACACACACACACACACACACACACACACACACACACACACACACACACACACACACACACACACACACACACACACACACACAATTTTTATTAATATTCTAAAAAGCTCTACATATGTAAACAAGTAGATTAAAGTAGGTGCAACCACAGACTCATTCCGGCGCGATCATCATCACACAATCTTAGTTCCGCTTGTCATTCGTTCCACGGCTCGAGTTCCCGAAGCGAACCGGGTCATGAGTGCCGATAATTCCCGATCCGATGTTCTTCTGCCGTTGCGGAACCTCAGTAACTCGGTGAGATGCAGCAGAGATCGAGTGAGAGGTATGAGGAACTCCTGGCTCTTTAATTCACCACAGACTTTAACTGTGTTTTGTGACGGCTAACGGCTAACTGTGTGTTCGGCGCGATAACAGTCCGATATAAACAATATAGTACATATGTTATAAATATATATAAATATAATATACATAAGTATATATTAGTACACAAACAACACACACACACACACACACACACACACACACACACACACTTTCTCTCTCACGCTCGCTCGCTCGCTCGCTCACTCTCTCTCTCTCTCTCTCTCTCTCTCTCTCTCTCTCTCTCTCACACACACACACACACTGACTGACTGACTGACTATAATGTGTGAAGCTCATAGTGTTTATTATAACACTCTTTATGTTTACAGATGGAGAGTCGAATGAATCCAGCGGGACGTTCAGTTTGTCAAACTTCTGGGAGATTCTGAGTTCAGTGTTTGTGACGATCTTAATATGAATATGAATAATATTTATCTGCGCAGTGACTTCACTCGTGTTCTTCTCATTTCACAGATGATGCTGTAAAAGTAACGTCTCAAGAAGCAACAAAACTCAGTTTAATCTTCTCGAAGCCGCCGTCAGAGGAGGTGCGTCTGACTGACCTTTGACCCTCTTCAGAGCATCAGATTGACCTTTGACCCTCGTCAGAGCATCAGATTGACCTTTGACCCTCGTCAGAGCATCAGATTAATGCTGTCTGTCATCCAGTGCTGTTGTATTTGAGCTTTTGTCGCCTGTAATAGTGTTGCTCTGTTTCTCACTCCAGGACTGTGCCAAAATAGCTGAATGTGTCCAGAAGAGCGTGCTGACCTTGTCCACCGTTTACTTCTGGTTACCAAAGAGCCAGGGTAACTATACCACTAATACCACAGCATTATAACCTGTAATGAGCTCAGCAAGGTCCCAGATAACGTGAAAGGTTAGACCTGCACCTGACTTGCCATTTTTCAAGTCACGGCTAAAAACCTACTTTTACTCACTTTATTTTTTAATAATCCGCTATTTGTGCCATGTTTTTTAGATATGTATTCTAGGAATGTTGTCTGTTTTAATTTTCTACATGTCTCTTCTCCATGTCTGACGTGTTCTTGTTTTAAGATAACTTGTAAAGCACGCTGGTCAGCTTTGGCTGTATAAATTGTGCTATATAAATAAACTTTCACTTGACTTGAAAGTCCTTTATGTCAGGAACACTATCGTCAAATACGATTGACAGTTAGCATACAGTTTGGATTAGCGGTATGGTTCAGTTCTGGGCAGCCTAGCATGGATAAGAGCAGCAATAACAGAACAGAACCAACATGAATGTATTCCAGATATCATTTATTAATTCAAGATTTTAATGTACAATATAATTGAAGATTTATTCTGATTGGAAGGGGAATGAGAATGCCAGACCCTGACTGAGACAGGAGGAGCTGGGGAGGGAGGAGGGTAATCGCTCCTGAGAGACGCGACCGCTGCTGATCACACTGACAGTGGCGATTCTAGAGGGGGGGCCAGGGGGGCCCGTGCCCCTGTGACAACAAGCTTGGCCCCCCTTGTGGCCCCCCTAAATGTGGAGTGTGAAATAATTTTTGCAAAACTGTTTTTGCTATCGTTGTATGCGTATTATTTTTTAAATATTCTATCTTTGTGGATTTGCTTGTTCACGTGACAATTCGCATCACATTCGCGGGAATCGCACGCGAGAGAGGAGAGAAGGAGAAAGCTGGTAAATGTCAGTTCAGTTGCAAGTTCATTCTAAATCGGGTGTGCGATGTGTATTGTCTATTATGATATTGTAATCAATGTTTTAACTGTATACGAGGCACTGTGAGGCTGACATCGTTTTCCCGTGCACAATTGCAACTGTGATATTGATGTTTTACAACAGTTAAATTAACAATAAGTTAACATTGGGAGTTACTTTTTAGACACAATATTGTCAATATTGTTTGTTTTCCCTTTATTTCGCCGACTATAATTTCAAAATGAAACCGTAGCAGAGTCTCAATGCAACCGACAGCGATGATTTCTTGACTGAAATCCGCGTTTTGAAAGAATCACTTGCTTCTTTCCCGAATTAATCAGCCATTTGAACAAATCGGTTGAATGAACTCCCTCAACACTTATTAAGACTGTGACTTGCCGCCGCCTACTGGCAGTTTTAGTTTCATATTTAAAGTAGCCTACCCTTTAATTAAAACGTTACAATTAGAAATCATTTCATATTTAAATATTGATTTTAAAAAAATCTCATAGCTTTATTTATGCAATTGTAAATGGAGTGTAAATATATTAATGCCGCTGGATTTTGATTGAATTAATTAATTTGACTAACAGTGGTACTGTATAATTATTGTATAATTAAGTATTATTGTATAAATAAGTATAATTACTGATTAATTTGAATGTCAGTATTTGACATAAAAGGTGATTCATAACTCTAAATAAGTTTAGAAAAAAATGTCCATATATAGGTGAAAATGCCCCTGGAAATCAATTTAAGGTGGCAAATTAAATTAATAAAAAAAATAATTTGGTCCCTGCTGTTAACTGACCACTGCATAGAATATTAAAAATATGAATATCTTTGTGAGTCTGCTGTCAACAACAGGCCTAAACCAACCATGGCACCAGCACAAAAACACAATCAGTAAAATATCATCTAATTATCAACAAAACATTGAAAATATTGAGATATATTTTTGCCAATATTGCACACCCCTAATGTACGGTATGAATTTTGATTTCTTCAGGTCTTAAAAAGCCTTAACCCTTATGTGCTGTTGTGGCTGTTTTCAGCCACTATGGGGTATTTTTGAGTCTTAATTTGGCCATAACTTTTTCTGTGTTTCAGCAAATGGAATGATTTTTGGTGACAAATCTTATTTTGCCACATATTTTGGGAAAATGCTTTGAAATTTTTCAAAAACTCAACAGTACACTCTGGGCAAATTCACTACCCTTTCGTTATGTTCGTGGCTGAAAACAGCCACTACTTTAAACTGCTGTAAAAATGTATCAGATAAATATTTTTTTCATTTTTTTTACATAAATCTATTAATCAACCTCATTCCTGATCAAAACTACTAAATGTTTAAAAAAAATCAGGATTTTAACTCTTTAATTGCCAAATTCATAAATGATGTCACTGATTTGGGGAAAAAAACACACAAAATGACTTATATTCAATATAAAATGTGATTGTGGACTGGATTTTTTTTAACCTTTTATCACAGTCTTGGACATGTCAAAGATTAGAAACAATGTTGGTTTTGATGAATTTTTATTTTTTGCGCAGCATCAGATTTTAACTTTTTCTCCCTCATTTACTGTTCGTGGCTGTTTTTGCCCCATTGACTTCCATTATAACCACATTTATTGATTGCAAAGCCATGAGACCAAATAATCATGCATTTTTGATTGTTGGTGGTTTTCCCTGTTGGGAAGAGGTAAAATTTGTCATTTTTACTGTGGATAACCAGGTGGCACCATTAACCCTTTAGATAGGCCTGTGCAAAAAAAGCTTAGTTTCTGGCTTTTACATGGAGTTATATGGAGTATAATAGCATTATAAAGTGTGTGTGTGTGTGTGAGAGAGAGAGAGAGAGAGAGAGAGAGAGAGAGAGAGAGAGAGAGAGAGAGAGAGAGAGAGAGAGAGAGAGAGAGAGAGAGAGAGAGAGAGAGAGAGAGAGTGTGTGAGAACTCACCTTGATGCATCTGAGAAAATCAAAATATGCACCTCAGCTCTCAGAACTACATGGAGTAAACAAAAACAAAGTAAGTGTATTTATGCATCTGCTGCCTTTTGATGGTGAGGAATGCAGACTAAACAAAAACAAAGCAAGTGGATATAAACACTTGTCATTTGATGGTGAGAAGAGCAGCAAGCAACATGAGAAAGGGCTTGACTTGTAGCGAAGTTTTAGAGATGGTTATGCAGCCTGACCCCTCCAGCGATCTGCAGGAGGTATTGTCTTCTCCCTCTGACACCACAGACTCAGGAGAGTCAGATCCTGGTTTGGATGTGGCACCCTCATCATCCTCTCTAGCTTCCACTGAAGGCGAGGAGGATTCGGAGGATCCTGGATCTGGGTGGATTGGGAGAATCTTGAGAGGGACATGGTGGCACTAAAAATCGCATGACCACTGCGATCATCCCACAGGAAACGTGTGGACTCCCCTCTGGAACTGTAGACGCCGGCCAAAATCAGTAGCCCCATGTAGGCATGGAGATCTGTGGAGTCCACCCCGGTCCAGTTTCTCATTGTGCGGTGGCAGCGGTGCCCATGGAGGTTGGTCATGCTGACAATGAGGTCAATCATCTCCTCCGAAAAAAAAACAGATTGAACACAGAATCCATGTTCTGGACCCTTGCGATGGCATAGCGCGTCGGCCCTGGAGTCACGCCTTTGACAGGCTGAAGAAAGGGAGTTGTCTCCACATTGGTGGAAAACCACACTTCGCCATTTCTCCCAATCCACCCAGATCCAGGATCCTCCGAATCCTCCTCGCCTTCAGTGGAAGCTAGAGAGGATGATGAGGGTCCCACATCCAAACCAGGATCTGACTCTCCTGAGTCTGTGGTGTCAGAGGGAGAAGACAATACCTCCTGCAGATCGCTGGAGGGGTCAGGCTGAATAACCATCTCTAAAACTTCGCTACAAGTCAAGCCCTTTCACATGTTGCTTGCTGCTCTTCTCACCATCAAATGACAAGTGTTTATATCCACTTGCTTTGTTTTTGTTTAGTCTGCATTCCTCACCATCAAAAGGCAGCAGATGCATAAATACACTTAGGCTACGTTGTTTTTGTTTACTCCATGTAGTTCTGAGAGCTGAGGTGCATATTTTGATTTTCTCAGATGCATCAAGGTGAGTTCTCACACTCTCTCTCTCTCTCTCTCTCTCTCTCTCTCTCTCTCTCTCTCTCTCTCTCTCTCTCTCTCACACACACACACACACACACACACACACACACACACACACACACACACACACACACACACACACACACACACACACACACTTTATAATGCTATTATACTCCATATAACTCCATGTAAAAGCCAGAAACTAAGCTTTTTTTGCACAGGCCTATCTAAAGGGTTAATGGTGCCACCTGGTTATCCACAGTAAAAATTACAAATTTTACCTCTTCCCAACAGGGAAAACCACCAACAATCAAAAATGCATGATTATTTGGTGTCATGGCTTTGCAATCAATAAATGTGGTTATAATGGAAGTCAATGGGGCAAAAACAGCCACGAACAGTAAATGAGGGAGAAAAAGTTAAAATCTGATGCTGCGCAAAAAATAAAAATTCATCAAAACCAACATTGTTTCTAATCTTTGACATGTCCAAGACTGTGATAAAAGGTAAAAAAAAATCCAGTCCACAATCACATTTTATATTGAATATAAGTCATTTTGTGTGTTTTTTTCCCCAAATCAGTGACATCATTTATGAATTTGGCAATTAAAGAGTTAAAATCCTGATTTTTTTGTTAAACATTTAGTAGTTTTGATCAGGACTGAGGTTGATTAATAGATTTATGTAAAAAAAATTGAAAAAAATATTTATCTGATACATTTTTACAGCAGTTTAAAGTAGTGGCTGTTTTCAGCCACGAACATAACGAAAGGGTAGTGAATTTGAACAATGCACAAGGGTTAAATTTGACTTTAAAAGGTGTGCAGGAACCCTGTAAATGGTCAGACATAGTTACAAGTCAGTTATTTTCAGTAACTTATTTAATAAGCTTCTTGGTCCCCATTGCTTTTGCTCTATAGTTCTCACCAAAATGAAGAGAAAGAAGGATATCATGTCAATTACAGTTACTGTGACTAATACTAAATATGTAATGCAAATGTAAAAATATAATGGAAATGTATACATTGTTGAATGATTATAAACATGGTATTTTGCCTGTTTATGCCTGCAGTAGTGCAGAAAATGATATGACAACAATAAGGTCTAAATGTAACTGGCCCCTCTAACAGTACAACTGGCCCCAGCTTGGCCCCCCCAGTTGAAATGGTCTAGAATCGCCACTGCACACTGACGAGCTGATGCATGAATACAGTGTTAGACGTCGTACTCCTATAGAGACGTGTGTCAGCTAAGAGTCACCAAAGTCCTTTTAGGCAAGTCATGCCACTCGGCCGCCATCTTGGCAACGCCTCCGGGCAGCTATTTCGGACTAACAAGACCAGGCTCCTATCTAAATGAATAGGCATAGACCCAGAACTGCACTTTCACTGGTCACCGGGACATAAAAACTGCATGTATACAAACACTAATAAAATATGATAAAAATCACTGAAAAAGTGTGATGACTTTGCCCCAAAATAAGGTTTAAAACGCCTTTTTCCCCACAGGTTATACTTTTACTGCGCATGCGCAAGGGTTCTCTCGCTCTCGGTCGTGCGCGCGCTACTGCTCGCTTGCTCTAGATTCCGGGAGATTTGAACTAATTTGCGGTCATCAGGGAGCCGCTATCAATCTGCGGGAGACTCCCGGAACTTCCGGGAGACTTGGGATGTCTGATATTTACACAACTAACACATCAAATCTGCCGCCTTTTCAAACAGTAACATTATTTTCCGCTGTCGCAAACCTCAACTGTGCGCATGCGTCGGTGGAACCAGACGATAGGCTTAAATGTTTTCCGGCTTGACTGTTAAAAGTAGACGATTGGCTTTCCAGCGGGAGGGGCGGGGCATGTGCATACAACCGCCATCTTTGGCGTTACGGGTTTTCCCTATATAGTTGTATTAAGGATTGGGGAAGTGGCATGTCTCTATAAATAGTCTCTGGAGTCACTGACGCGAGCTTGACTAGCGTGACCCGCCAGAACTGACGCTACGCTTGATGCTTGCTTTAGGAGTGACGCTGAGGAAGGCGGTGCGAGACGCGACGGTGGAGGTGCTGGACGAACTCCTTCAGCTGATGGAGGTCATTCTCTCCTCTCCTGTGCACAGGTGACCCTACCTGACCACACTGACCCTACCTGACCACACTGACCCTACCTGACCACACCTGACCACACTGACCCTACCTGACCACACTGACCCTACCTGACCACACTGACCCTACCTGACCTCACCTGACCACACCTGACCCTACCTGACCACACTGACCCTACCTGACCTCACCTGACCACACCTGACCCTACCTGACCACACTGACCCTACCTGACCTCACCTGACCACACTGACCCTACCTGACCTCACCTGACCTCACCTGACCACACTGACCCTACCTGACCTCACCTGACCTCACCTGACCACACTGACCCTACCTGACCACACTGACCCTACCTGACCACACCTGACCACACCTGACCCTACCTGACCACACCTGACCCTACCTGACCACACTGACCCTACCTGACCACACTGACCCTACCTGACCACACTGACCCTACCTGACCACACCTGACCCTACCTGACCACACTGACCCTACCTGACCACACTGACCCTACCTGACCACACCTGACCCTACCTGACCACACCTGACCCTACCTGACCACACTGACCCTACCTGACCACACCTGACCACACTGACCCTACCTGACCTCACCTGACCACACCTGACCCTACCTGACCTCACCTGACCACACCTGACCCTACCTGACCACACTGACCCTACCTGACCACACTGACCCTACCTGACCACACCTGACCCTACCTGACCTCACCTGACCACACCTGACCCTACCTGACCACACTGACCCTACCTGACCTCACCTGACCACACCTGACCCTACCTGACCTCACCTGACCACACCTGACCCTACCTGACCACACTGACCCTACCTGACCACACTGACCCTACCTGACCTCACCTGACCTCACCTGACCACACCTGACCCTACCTGACCACACTGACCCTACCTGACCTCACCTGACCACACCTGACCCTACCTGACCACACTGACCCTACCTGACCTCACCTGACCACACCTGACCACACTGACCCTACCTGACCACACTGACCCTACCTGACCTCACCTGACCCTACCTGACCACACCTGACCCTACCTGACTACACCTGACCACACTGACCCTACCTGACCACACTGACCCTACCTGACCTCACCTGACCCTACCTGACCACACTGACCCTACCTGACCTCACCTGACCACACCTGACCCTACCTGACCACACTGACCCTACCTGACCACACTGACCCTACCTGACCCTACCTGACCACACCTGACCCTACCTGACCACACTGACCCTACCTGACCACACCTGACCCTACCTGACCACACTGACCCTACCTGACCTCACCTGACCACACCTGACCCTACCTGACCTCACCTGACCACACCTGACCCTACCTGACCACACTGACCCTACCTGACCACACTGACCCTACCTGACCACACTGACCCTACCTGACCACACCTGACCCTACCTGACCTCACCTGACCACACCTGACCCTACCTGACCACACTGACCCTACCTGACCTCACCTGACCTCACCTGACCACACCTGACCTCACCTGACCACACCTGACCCTACCTGACCACACTTACCCTACCTGACCACACTGACCCTACCTGACCTCACCTGACCTCACCTGACCACACCTGACCACACCTGACCCTACCTGACCCTACCTGACTACACCTGACCACACTGACCCTACCTGACCTCACCTGACCACACTGACCCTACCTGACCACACCTGACCACACTGACCCTACCTGACCTCACCTGACCACACTGACCCTACCTGACCTCACCTGACCACACTGACCCTACCTGACCTCACCTGACCACACCTGACCACACTGACCCTACCTGACCTCACCTGACCACACTGACCCTACCTGACCTCACCTGACCACACTGACCCTACCTGACCTCACCTGACCACACCTGACCACACTGACCTGACCACACTGACCCTACCTGACCACACTGACCCTACCTGACCTCACCTGACCACACCTGACCACACTGACCCTACCTGACCTCACCTGACCACACCTGACCACACTGACCCTACCTGACCACACTGACCCTACCTGACCACACCTGACCACACAGACCCTACCTGACCTCACCTGACCACACTGACCCTACCTGACCTCACCTGACCACACCTGACCCTACCTGACCCTACCTGACTACACCTGACCACACTGACCCTACCTGACCTCACCTGACCACACTGACCCTACCTGACCTCACCTGACCACACCTGACCACACTGACCCTACCTGACCTCACCTGACCACACTGACCCTACCTGACCTCACCTGACCACACCTGACCACACTGACCCTACCTGACCACACTGACCCTACCTGACCTCACCTGACCACACTGACCCTACCTGACCACACTGACCACACCTGACCACACTGACCCTACCTGACCACACTGACCCTACCTGACCTCACCTGACCACACTGACCCTACCTGACCTCACCTGACCACACTGACCACACCTGACCTCACCTGACCACACTGACCCTACCTGACCACACTGACCCTACCTGACCACACTGACCCTACCTGACCTCACCTGACCACACTGACCCTACCTGACCTCACCTGACCACACTGACCACACCTGACCTCACCTGACCCTACCTGACCTCACCTGACCACACTGACCCTACCTGACCTCACCTGACCACACTGACCTCACCTGACCACACTGACCCTACCTGACCACACTGACCCTACCTGACCACACCTGACCACACTGACCTCACCTGACCTCACCTGACCCTACCTGACCTCACCTGACCTCACCTGACCACACTGACCTCACCTGACCACACTGACCCTACCTGACCTCACCTGACCTCACCTGGATGCTGCATTATTAACACAATAATGATGATGACGTGTGTGTGATGTTTTCCTCAGTCTCTCACAGGAGCAGCTGATGTCGACTGGAGGAGTTTGGGCCGCGTGTGACAAGTTTAATCAGCTGCCAAAAGGTCAGAGGTCAACTAAGCAGTACTAGAGTTCAGGCGGGTTCATAGTTCATAGTGTCCACATGATCATTCTGTGTATTCTCAGATTTGTCGCCTGTCGCTTTAAATGCTCCAGCTGTTTAATGCAGGATGGATTCTGATTGGCTGTTAATGTTTATTAATGTTAATGAAAAAAAGATAGGATATGATTCCTCTGGGTGGTTATTGCTATAGTTGTGGTGTGATTCAGTTCTGCATTATTGCTGAACCCACAGTTTTTGTCACTTTTGATATTTAATGCACATCTGAATCGGTGGATTTAAAGTGGCCATTAGACATTAGTAATAAACTTCCCGTAGCCCAAACAGAAGATCACGCGCTCGCAACGCCAAGGTCATGGGTTCGATTCCCAGGAAATGCATGAACTGATAGAATGCTTTGGATAAAAGCGTCTAATCCTTAAAAAAATGCATTGTAAATAATATGAAACTGTTATATTTATTACAAATTCCTCCATGACTGCTATTATAATCATTGATTGCTCATGTATATAAAACCAGAACTTGTTTTAGCTTCATAATTGAATAATCTGCCTCTTTTGGTGAAACTGAACATGATTTAGAGTGTGTTCAGAAACACCGATATAAATATACTTGCAACATGATCTCATATTCAGTGTATTTACACCAGCTGATAAAAGCCTGCAATAATTCAGATGTTTTAATGTTTCTGAAAGAGTCTCTTCTGCTCAAACCTGCATTTATTTGATCAAAAATACTCTAAAAACAGTGAAATATTATTATAATGTAAAGTGAATATTAGGGCTGTTTTCGACTAAGGATTTTCATAGTCGAATCTGATTCGTTAGATTTTGCCGTAGTCGACTGATAGTCGGGTTTTTTTTTTTTTTTAGATAGCAGCTAGACGTTCGGTTGAATAACTGTTCGTCTGTTATAGGACAACTCGCTCTACGTTTATTTAAAATGAACAGCAAGACAACTAGAAGTGAATGTGCTTTCCATTAAATGAATCCTTAACAAAAAAAAAACAAAACGTTGCAATGAACGTGCTTTGTTTTAAATAAATCACACACAGTAAACAAAACCTTAACAAAAAAACTTTGCAATGAACTTTTTAATTTAGACGCGCAAACTGCGAGCCGGTGCGGTGAGACGTAGCCTACACGCTCGGGCAGATTCGGCTTGAAGTCGTTCATCCTCGGATGCGGCGTCGCGCGCGCTGTTACAAAAACAGCCGTGCACACAGCCAAGCCAAATGGGGTCTTGCCGGTCTTGCGCACCCAACGCGTCATTTTTTGCCGTGCGCTCCTTCGCGCTCGTGCGGACGCGTCGAGTTTAAACAAGGCTTTACTCCGTGTCAGTGCGCGCTCTGATCGGTAAAGGTGCACAGACCTCTCCCGAATCATCTCCAGCACTCAGCCTCCGACGCACCACTAACTCCGCCTCCGCTTCCCTCATAAGATGATATTAGTATTTAAACATTCTCTATGATAAAAAATGTTTGTAAAAAATATTTGAATAGCACGGTTTTGGCGGTTATAGAGTTCTAATGACGGTGTTCACCTATAACCGTCGTCTCACGGTAATATAATACACCCCTATTGGTTACGTAACATAACACTTCCCTATTATTCGACTATGAGGTTCACAGTCGAATCAGACCTCTCCGAATCGAATCGTCGAATCCTCGACTATTAGAAGTCAGCCCTAGTGAATATATAGTAAAGTGTAATTTATTCCTGTGATCAAAGCTGAATTTTCAGCATCATTACTCCAGTCTTCAGTGTCACATGATCCTTCAGAAATCACTCTAATATGAGGATTTTGTGCGTGTGTGTGTGTGTGTGTGCGTGCGTGTGTGTGTGTGTGTGCGTGTGTGTGTGTGTTCCTCACAGATAACCGCAGTGCCGTGTTGGCCGTCTTGACTTCATATGCTGGTTTGGTGAAAGATGCGCTGGAAGAAATGGAGCAGGTCAGAGAACATCTACAACTGTCTTATTGCTAATAATAAGGATTGTTTTCGGCGGTAATGCAGTCAAGTCACCTTTATTCATATAGTGCTTTTTCAAAGCAGCTTTACAGAGATAAAAGGAAAATAATGCAACAAAGTTTGTTTCCAAAAAAAAACAACCTGTACCAGTCCAGCTTAAGTAAGTTCAGTGATGGTTCATTTCTGCTGTAAAAAAGTTATTAATGTAGTTCATTTATATATATATATAGCGCTCTGGAGAAAACAGGGATATACGGTGAGAGAGTGTGTGTGTGTGTGTGTGAGAGAGAGAGAGAGAGATTGTGTGTGTGTGTGTGTAATATTGTGCATCAATATTAATAAGCGGTTGTTATATTAATCTGCATGTCTGAACTGCTGTTCTCCTCTCCAGGCTCTGGCTGAGACTCAAGACCCGTTCGCTGACGTCTTACCTGATGATGAAGATGATGATGAAGGAATGGGAGGCCGGGGGAACCAGGACACGTACTGGTCCCCGTCGGACCGGCTGCTGGTGTGTCAGTGTCGGGGTTTGATGAAGGCGTCCGGAGCGAGTCTGCGTAAACTCTCCTCTGCTGTCCGAAACACCGGCTCCACGGAGACTGAGGAGAACATCACACAGTTGGACGACCTCGCAGACGCTGCTAAAGACATCAGTCCTGGGTGCGTCTGGTCAAATATTAATCAAAATATTACAGTCATCCTGTAGTCAATCATTTATCCCTTGAAAAAATGTCTTCATGCCTTAAAATATCTTGAATGTAACTCGACACCCTCGCCTCATTTAGTACGCGCGGCTCTATGAATATGCAGATGAGCCCCGCCTCCACTCACTCCCTCAGCTCAGAGATCCACTGGTTGACGATCACACGTTGATCTGATTGGTTACAAGGTCGTTTGTGACGTCAGAAACACCAGCGATTTCAAACCGTGTTTTTGAGACTGTCTTTGGTTCACTGCAGTTTTAAGGAGGAAATACTCAGCAATGCTGTCGACTTATGAACTTACACTTGGTGTGTCTTAAAGCGTATTAATAACACCACATAGACACATAAACAACATTAAACGCTGGATTTACACCACAGGGGGTCTTTAATATTTAGGCTTGAAGTTTGTTATTCTGTTAGATATATAAAATAACCGAACACAGTTTGTGACATTTAAGGAATAGATTTGATTGAATGAAGTTGAAATGTTTTGAATGCTTCTAATCATTTAAATGTTTGTTAAAGTAAAAAAAATTATTAATAAAAAAATTATTTTATTCTGACTTCAAGGATTAAATTAGTCAAAAGTGACAGTAAAGACATTTATAATGTTACAAAAGATTCTTTTTCAAATAAATGCTGTTCTTTAGAACTTTTTATTTCTTTAAAGAATCCTGAAAAATAAATCTATCACAGTTTCGACCAAAATATGAAATTGTTTTCAACACTGATAATAATCATAAATGTTCATATTAGAGTGATTTCTGAAGGATCATGTGACACTGAAGACTGGAGTAATGATGCTGAAAATTCAGCTTTAATCACTGGAATAAATTACACTTTACTATATATTCACATAGAAAACAGCGCATTTACATTATAATAATATTTCACTGTTTTTTTTTTAAGCATAAGAGACTTTAACAGATGACATTACACTACCTTTTGAGTTCAGTGGTCTCGCATGATGTTTAACACTGATCATTGATCCTCCCAGTGAGTGTTTGCCCTCCAGCTGTGTGTGTGTGTGTGTGTGTGTCTGCAGTCGTGCCACTCCAAACACCCGCCCTGACAAACCTTCTTCACACTGATGATGAACCTCCTTGACTGTGATAATGACCTCTCGTTGTGTGTGTTTTCAGCATTGATGACCTCGCCCTCAGTCTCTACCCCCCCGTGGACCGCCCGGCTGTCAATCATAATGTAAGTCGCGTCAGATCGTATAACTTTATCACGCACACGAGACGTGTTCAGACTCCCAGATTCATTTCCCAGTTTCATCATATTGTTTCGTCTCAATGTTGCTGGCGTCTCCAGGACGCAGGTGTGCCGGCTCATTAGTCATGAGGAACAGGTGAGTACTGATGACTCAGTACGATTTTTAACGTTTTTAAAAGAAGTCTCTTCTGCTCACCAAGGCTGCATTTATTTGATTACAAATACAAAAAAAAAGAAGTAATATTGACAATCAGGATATATTGAAAGCAATTGAAAAAAGATAAATTTGTGGATAAGTGGATTTAAAAATTGGCAGAGTTTGTGCGGATCTGATGTAAGCCGGTGGTCCATAAGCACGATCAGCCCTATTTTAAAGAGTTACAATAATCTAATTGGGAAGTTACAAACGCATGTTTAGCAGTCTCCAAGTTCACGAAGGGCTTAACCCTGGCTAAAAGACGACGATGATGAACACAGGACTTAACCACAGCACTTATCGGGTTATCATATTTAAGGTTGTATCAAACGAGACCCCAGCACAGGTGCTACTCTAAGGGGATTTTGTGTATTTTTAATCAGATAAATGCAGAAGAGACTTCTTTTAAAAACATTACAAATCTTACCGATCCAAAACTTTTTGAACGGCACTGTGTATTTTCAACAGATGATCCAGTTCAGAGTCACAGGCTTGTGTAGGATTGTGTGTGCGTGTGCGTGTGCGTGTGTGTGTGTGTGTGTGTGTGTGTGTGTGTGTGTGTGTGTGTGTGTGTGTCAGGGGCGTAGAATTTAGTAGGGACGTGTCCCAACCAATATCCAGTGACACTGATATATCCCTAGCAATAATTTCGATCAAAACTTAAAATATATTTATATATTGTTGTCCCCGTCCCCACCAATTTCAAAATCAAACCTACGCCACTGGTGTGCGCGCGTGTGTGTGTGTGTGTTGGGCTGTAGATTCCAGCGCTAATGAAGCATGTGATTGTTGTAGGTGTGTAAACTGGCATGTGTGCTGAAGAAAGTGCTGGAGATCACGAGGTAAGACATTGATGATCAACACAATTGACCTCAGTTTAATTATCACAGGGTTCGTACGGGGTGCTTAAAGTGCTTGAATTTTACTTTTTAAAATTGAAGTCCTGGAAAACCCTTGAAAACAGCCGTATTTATGAAAAGTGCTTGAATTATTGGAAGACAACAGCCTATATTAGAAAATAGTTTAATTTTATTGATAAAACATCTGTTCACAGCCGTCTGATATTGATATAGAGCCCGTTCACATGGCTATGAGTGTGATATTGCTCATATAATTATTCAAGTGTATGATACAGCTTTCATTCTTCAGGTCAATATTCAATATATATATATATATATTCAAGGGCAAAATCAGTTTGAATAAGGAAAGCGATATCTTTGTCATCGTATCCTTTCAGTGGTTAAAGTTCCACAGTCACTGCATCCGCTGCACTTTATTTTTACCATTTTGTTTTATTAGGTTTTTATAATCGATTGACCTTTTTTAGAATTTGAAAGATAATTTAGATATTGTCTAAAAAGTGAGATCTCTCCTAAAAAAGTCCTGGAATTGAATTGTAGTGTGTCTGTACGAACCCTGTTATTATGATCACTCGCCCGCATTGCTTCAGTGCGTAGTCACACGTTTGTTTGCACTTGATTCGTCATTCCTTCATCTCTCATGTGTGTCCTCCGGCAGGTCCAGTCATGTCTGTGGCGAGGCCGATGTGTGCTGGGTGCAGTTCCTGAGCGGAGCTGTCGAACACAACCTGGAGAAGCTCGAGTCGCTGCTGAACTGCGGGTCCTAGAGACTCACGGCCCCGGGCGGGTCCTAGCAGAGACTCGCTCACGGCCCCGGGGCGGATCCTGCACTCAGAGGACGAACCACAGCAGAGACTCGCTCTATCGCTCCTGCAGAAGAGCGTCTGATGGAAGCTGCAGAGAGTGTGTTTAAAGGGGAACCTTTCCAAAGGCCATGGATTACTCCATCTTTCTGAGCGATGTTGTAATTCATGTTCACAGAAGTTTGACCTCTAAAATAATGAAATCTGTTTTGAATATAAAAGTGTTATTCATAAAAACGCCATGTCTGTCTGTAAGGATTCATCATAACCATAACTGTGAGTGAGTGAGTGTGTGAGTGAGTGTGAGTGTGAGAGTGAGTGTGAGAGTGTGAGAGTGAGTGTGAGAGTGAGTGTGAGAGTGAGTGTGAGAGTGAGTGTGAGTGTGAGAGTGAGTGTGAGAGTGAGTGAGTGTGTGAGTGTGAGAGTGAGTGTGAGAGTGAGTGTGAGAGTGAGTGTGAGAGTGAGTGTGAGTGTGAGTGTGAGAGTGAGTGTGAGAGTGTGAGAGTGAGTGTGAGAGTGAGTGTGAGAGTGAGTGTGAGAGTGAGTGTGAGTGTGAGAGTGAGTGTGAGAGTGAGTGAGTGTGTGAGTGTGAGAGTGAGTGTGAGAGTGAGTGTGAGAGTGAGTGTGAGAGTGAGTGTGAGTGTGAGAGTGAGTGTGAGAGTGAGTGTGAGAGTGAGTGTGAGAGTGAGAGTGAGTGTGAGAGTGTGAGTGTGAGTGTGAGTGTGTGTGAGTGAGAGTGAGAGAGTGAGTGTAAGAGTGAGAGTGAATGTGTGAGTGAGAGTGAGAGTGAGTGAGAGAGTGAGAGTGAGTGAGTGTGAGTGAGTGTGTGAGTGTGAGAGTGAGTGAGAGAGTGAGAGTGAGTGTGAGTGTGAGAGTGAGTGTGAGTGTGAGTGTGAGTGTGAGTGTGAGAGTGAGAGAGTGAATGTGTGAGTGAGAGTGAGTGAGAGAGTGAGAGTGAGAGAGTGAGTGTGAGAGTGAGAGTGAGAGTGAGAGTGAGTGAGTGAGAGAGTGAGTGTGAGAGTGAGTGAGTGAGTGAGTGAGAGAGTGAGTGTGAGAGTGAGTGTGAGAGTGAGTGTGAGAGTGAGTGTGAGAGTGAGTGTGAGAGTGAGTGTGAGAGTGAGTGTGAGTGTGAGTGTGTGTGAGTGAGAGTGAGAGAGTGAATGTGTGAGTGAGAGTGAGAGTGAGTGAGAGAGTGAGAGTGAGAGAGTGAGTGTGAGAGTGAGAGTGAGAGTGAGAGTGAGTGAGTGAGAGAGTGAGTGTGAGAGTGAGTGAGTGAGTGAGTGAGAGAGTGAGTGTGAGAGTGAGTGTGAGAGTGAGTGTGAGAGTGAGTGTGAGAGTGAGTGTGAGAGTGAGTGTGAGAGTGAGTGTGAGAGTGAGTGTGAGAGTGAGTGAGAGAGTGAGTGTGAGTGAGAGAGTGAGTGTGAGTGAGAGAGTGAGTGTGAGTGAGAGTGAGAGTGAGAGAGTGAGTGAGAGAGTGAGTGTGAGTGAGAGTGAGTGTGAGTGTGAGTGAGAGTGAGTGTGAGTGTGAGTGTGAGAGTGAGAGAGTGAGAGTGAGAGTGAGAGTGAGTGAGAGAGTGAGTGAGAGAGTGAGTGAGAGAGTGAGTGAGAGAGTGAGTGAGAGAGTGAGTGAGAGAGTGAGTGAGAGAGTGAGTGAGAGAGTGAGTGAGAGAGTGAGTGAGAGAGTGAGTGTGAGAGTGAGTGTGAGAGTGAGAGTGAGTGAGTGTGAGTGAGTGTGTGAGTGTGAGAGTGAGTGAGAGAGTGAGAGTGAGTGTGAGAGTGAGTGTGAGTGTGAGTGTGAGTGTGAGAGTGAGTGTGAGTGTGAGAGTGAGTGTGAGAGTGAGTGTGAGAGTGAGTGTGAGAGTGAGTGTGAGAGTGAGTGTGAGAGTGAGTGTGAGAGTGAGAGTGAGTGAGAGTGAGTGAGAATGAGTGTGTGTGAGAGTGAGTGTGAGAGTGAGTGAGAGTGAGTGAGAGTGAGTGAGAGTGAGTGAGAGTGAGTGAGAGAGTGAGTGTGAGTGTGAGTGTGAGTGTGAGAGTGAGTGTGAGTGAGAGAGTGAGTGTGAGAGTGAGAGAGTGAGTGTGAGTGTGAGTGTGAGTGTGAGAGTGAGTGTGAGAGTGAGTGTGAGTGTGAGAGTGAGTGAGAGAGTGAGTGTGAGAGTGAGTGTGAGAGTGAGTGTGAGAGTGAGTGTGAGAGTGAGTGTGAGAGTGAGTGTGAGAGTGAGTGTGAGAGTGAGTGTGAGTGTGAGTGTGAGAGTGAGTGTGAGAGTGAGTGTGAGTGTGAGAGAGTGTGAGAGTGAGTGAGAGTGAGTGAGAGAGTGAGTGTGAGTGTGAGTGTGAGAGTGAGTGTGAGAGTGAGTGTGAGAGTGAGTGTGAGAGTGAGTGAGAGAGTGAGTGTGAGAGTGAGAGAGTGTGAGTGTGAGTGTGAGTGTGAGAGTGAGTGTGAGAGTGAGTGTGAGTGTGAGAGTGAGTGTGAGAGTGAGTGTGAGAGTGAGAGTGAGTGTGAGTGAGAGTGAGAGTGAGAGTGAGAGTGTGAGTGTGAGAGTGAGTGTGAGAGTGAGTGTGAGTGTGAGTGAGAGAGAGAGTGAGAGAGTGAGTGTGAGAGTGAGAGTGAGTGTGAGAGTGAGTGTGAGTGTGAGTGAGAGAGAGAGTGAGAGAGTGAGTGTGAGTGTGAGTGTGAGTGTGAGTGTGTGTGAGTGAGAGTGAGAGAGTGAGTGTAAGAGTGAGAGTGAATGTGTGAGTGAGAGTGAGAGTGAGTGAGAGAGTGAGAGTGAGAGAGTGAGTGTGAGAGTGAGAGTGAGAGTGAGAGTGAGTGAGTGAGAGAGTGAGTGTGAGAGTGAGTGAGTGAGTGAGTGAGAGAGTGAGTGTGAGTGTGAGAGTGAGTGTGAGAGTGAGTGTGAGAGTGAGTGTGAGAGTGAGTGAGAGAGTGAGTGTGAGAGTGAGAGAGTGTGAGTGTGAGTGTGAGTGTGAGTGTGAGAGTGAGTGTGAGAGTGAGTGTGAGTGTGAGAGTGAGTGTGAGAGTGAGTGTGAGAGTGAGAGTGAGTGTGAGTGAGAGTGAGAGTGAGAGTGTGAGTGTGAGAGTGAGTGTGAGAGTGAGTGTGAGTGTGAGTGAGAGAGAGAGTGAGAGTGTGAGTGTGAGAGTGAGTGTGAGAGTGAGTGTGAGTGTGAGAGTGAGTGTGAGTGTGAGTGAGAGAGAGAGTGAGAGAGTGAGTGTGAGTGTGAGTGTGAGTGTGAGTGTGTGTGAGTGAGAGTGAGAGAGTGAGTGTAAGAGTGAGAGTGAATGTGTGAGTGAGAGTGAGAGTGAGTGAGAGAGTGAGAGTGAGAGAGTGAGTGTGAGAGTGAGAGTGAGAGTGAGAGTGAGTGAGTGAGAGAGTGAGTGTGAGAGTGAGTGAGAGAGTGAGTGAGAGAGTGAGAGTGAGAGAGTGAGTGAGAGTGAGAGAGTGAGAGTGAGTGTGTGCGAGTGAGTGTGAGAGTGAGTGTGTGAGAGTGAGTGTGAGACTATTTCTTAAAGGGGTCATATAATGCCATTTTTGTACAAGCTAATATGATTCTTTAGGGTCTAAATTAAAAGTTTGTAATATACTTTAATTAAAAATTCTCATTAGTATTGTAAGAAAACGCTTATTTTACCTGGTCAAAAACAGCTCTGTTTTCAGCACGCCGTTTCAGTGCATATGACTTTAAATGATCATGAGCTTTGCTGACTCCGCCTCTCTGTTCTATGCATACACCGTTTGTAACTCAATAACCATAACGCGTTGTTCAGTATAAATGTGGGATTATGAATTATATTGAGAACGTCATACATAGAAAACATGCCGTAATGTACCATGAGTGTAAACCTTAGACGCATTCATTGTGAAGCGTGCAGCTAGCGATTTGCAAAGATTAATATATTAATATAAAGTTTAATAAAACGTTACACTCACTTCCGTTCTTCTGGAGATTCAGCAGGAACACGAATATCTGGTACCGATCCATTTTTCATGAGCAGCAGCTTAGCAAATCCAGCTTTATACTGATCCTCGTCTATAAAGCAGTCTGCTGAGAAATGATTCGCGCAAACATGAGAGCATTGACGTTGCTCGTGGGGAATATTCCCTTCGAAAACAAACACAGCCACTGCGTCTTCAGCGGTTCGGGTTTAGGAACATTAAAATAACTGTGTTCGTTATTACACCCAAGAACAGAACACCACAATCGCTTAGAGCCATTCTGCTCATAGACAGTGCTCCAGCATATCAACAATGACCGCGCCGGTCCGCGCAGACTATGATTGACAGCTCTCTCATGGAGCTGATCTCACCCGCGAGGGCGGGTCTGTGTTGAGACGCTGCTGTCAATCAACAATCGTGGGAGGGGCTTCCGACCGTGTGACGTCACAGGCTCGAACGGCTCGATTTGAGGCAGGGGAAAACATATAAGGAGATTAAAACAAAACCACTGGATGGATTTTTATCATTTTATGATGGTTGTGTACAGGCACTGCCAACACACATTTCAGTGCAATCAACTTGTAAAAGTGCATGCACCATTATATGACCCCTTTAAATATATACATGCATGTGTGTGTATTTATATATACAAAATAATTATACACAGTACACACACATATTATGTAAACAAACTTTTATTTTGGATGCGATTAAACTATTTTTTTCATAACAAATAAGTGAAATCTCATGAAAACAATATGATATATTTTGTTACTTGAATTGAAAGTGTTTATAATCATTGAGTGTTTGGGGTTAAAAAGTCATTGAAATAATGTCATAATGCACACAAAACACACACACACACATATATATATATATATATAAATAACAGGCTGTTCTTTTGATTTTAGTGTGAAATGAGAGTTGGACGTTCAAATACTTCTCTAATCGTTGCCCAGCACTACTGAATATATAATACAAGTAAATATCACATCAAAAGAGTTCAGCTGATAAAACAGTTTAGGAATCTAAATGCAGCATTGTACATAAATGAAGTGACATTTAAAACATTTGTATTGCAACTTTATTTTCATTCATATTAAAGTCGTCCACTATAATGCATTCTCACTGTTTTAATGGTGACACTTCATTATTTTCTGTATTATATCAGCACAAATGAGCTCTTCACATCTCTGCAGTGTTCATGGCTGGTAAAAGCAGAACTCGTGTGATCATGTGATCATGCTGATGGTTCTGCTGGTTCTGATGGTTCTGCGTGTCATTTGCCGAGGCTGAGGAACCCGAGCGCTTGTGTTGCTGGTCTCACGTTCACGTCCACACTGGCTTTAATGTTTCTGAATGTTGAGCTGTCGAAGTTTGCCACCAGTTTCTTGGGTCCGAGTCTGTAGGGACTGAACTTCACCTTCAGCCTGATCCTCTGTCCCGGGCCGAGCTCAACGGCGCTGCACACACACACACAC